GAATATTCACTCTGAGCCCAGTATCCATCAACATCAACCCTCTTACAGCTGTTACTACTACACTACCCCCGATCCCAACAAAGTACCCACAAGCAGCCCAAAATAGTTCTCCACACCTCGCAACACACTTACATAAGTGCGCCAATTGTATGACCAGTGACGTCACGGCAATGCGCCGGCCGATCGCGCCATTGCATAAAATTGCCGTTGGTCACCTCCGTAATGTCTCAGAATTTCTCAAGACGGCATGGAACATTTTTTACCAATTCAGTGGTGTCAGTTACAGTATTGGATATGTCGCAGTATCAGTGACTTAGTAACATAAACAGTAAGATATTTCACATACGCACCCACCATTTTTCACACAGGCGGTTAGACCATCCTGAAAAATAGAAAAACGCTGATTCTCCGTTTCCAATTCTGACTTAGTAGTCGGATGTATAAAGGATCATTTCTCTGTGACTACACTCGGGGGAATAATTACATTTTACACTCCGTTTTAATGGTAACATATTGCGGCTAAAAAAGCACGTCACGGATGTTATCAAGTGCCTTATTTATTAGTTATGTCTCTTTATTCGCTAAAAAATATTAGATTCAAACGCTATGACTTGAATTTTAGGCAGTCTGTTTCATTTTTCTCGTAAATATTGAAACTTAAAGACATAATTCGAGCCATGATTATGCATCTTTAACGAGCTACAGTACTGGCCACTGTGTAGTTAATAAGTACATTACCTCTATAGGCCAAACCGCAGCGTATTGTTGTCAATATCACTGCTGTTCGGTTACTAAGAAATATCCAATTGAAATACCGCGGTCAAATTTAAATCCGTTGTTGACAGTTTCAACCCCTATGCCGGCCGGAACCGGCCGTAACGCGACGCCACGGTGTCATACAGATTATGGGCGCCACCGCGACCATCTTCGCACGTTGCTCGGCCGCCGTCAGTGATCGATCCTTGTAGTCTGAGGCGCATTCCGATACGTTATGGTTTTACTCGTGGAGTCGCGGAAGAAGATGGAATATCACGAAGTTCTTGAAGGACCAAGCCAAAACATATAATATGTGGCACTAGCCAAATAATACACACTAGGCCAAACAACTTTACCCGGAGACACAAACATTCGATGTCAACATCCTGTAGGCAACATGTGACGTCACCAACGAACTCGGATGTTTTTCGTTGGCAATAAAGTGCGGTTGTCGCCAGATTACCAAATTTACGGATTTCAATTAGACATTCTTGTAATTAGCAGTGATATTTGAACAAACTAATACGCTGTTTGGCACAAGGTATGTACTTATGAACTACACAACCGACGCCCGCGACGGCGCAGTTAGCTGCTCAGCATTCGATCAAACCTTTGCCATAATCGATAAGGGGCCCATCGAAATTATGCCTCTCTAGAAGGAACAAATCCCTGCGAGGGGCTATAACGATGCGCTACTTTTGATACATATTGTGCCTGTAAAAAAAGTGCGTGCGCAAAATTTGTATCCTCAACTCTTCTGTATATGAAAAATACCCAAAAAACCAATTTGTTATCAGTAAAAATCGCCAATAACAATTTGTGTGCGTTGGTGGGTCGCCATGGCTCGCCACAGACGCACGAGCACGCGTGTTTTGAGCAGGTCAAAACAAACCCAGGTGCGCGCCGATCGACCGGGAACGCCCGTCAACTAATTACGGTGGCTCTGGAGCAGAGCCAAAGGTGTTATGAAATTTTGCCTTTGAGCGTAGTCGCGGTATAATATCAGCGATGACGACCGTCTATAAATAAAACAACGTGCATTGACTGGCGACAACTCTCCATTCGATACGAATAAACCGTTTAATCTCATTAGGAGCAACTACCCGAGGCGGCAAGGTGTCTTCCCGAGGCGAAGTCACACTCGTCAACATTTTGGTCAAAATCAACGCTGGAGACCGACGAGATGGTATAATCAGTTCCAACGCGCATACTATCATGGATCGAGGCACGCGCAGGCCAAGGTCTTTTTATCAGTGGCCGACGATGTCTTTGGTCAGGCCCGGGGACCAGTGTAGTCTCTGAGGACAACCTCGGCGCTTTGCAACAATACACGATCCACAGGTACTGTAACGCGCTCTGGTGAGCCTGCGGTTTCTAGTCGGGTGGGCATCGGGTGTGCGCGAGGGGCGCTCTACACTGCAGACAAAGACCCAGGCTCAGTACCACTCATTGGTTACCATACAAGATCAGTCATAAGACCATTAAGTATTCAACCCCCACTACTTGAGGCGTCAACACTCCTGGTATCAGTCAACTGCGTCTCGCCACGCCAAGGCGGTAAAGTAGAACGAGCATCTTTCTATGGTCAACTCTCAACTTAAGTGATAAAATGGCTAGCTCGAGGTCGCTCCACTATGAGACACAAAGGCCTTTTGCACACACCGAGAACGGTCCGTCCGCCTGCTGTAAAACCCCCGTCCGCGAGACGTTTGGCTTGAGCAGCGCCGCTGCTAGACCATGTCTTCACGAAAATGGTCTCACACTGATGAGTCTGACCTTTCCCCACTGCCTTTGACCTCCCAATTATCGCCAACTTTAGATGAGAGCGACATCGGCGGATTTCCGTCACCATCAGCACGACGAATACAAGATGCTGAAGCGATGCCGTTGACCGAGCAGAGCACCAGAGATCGCTAAGGATTCAGCGAAAACGAGCGACTCGTTAGAGATTAGCAAGAGCGTAGCCGCCAAATTCCGTATTTCCTCCGATCGAATACCGTCACAGTCATAAGGAGAGTACAAATATTCCCCCACTGCCTTTACCACCTCAATTGACCCTGCGCGCCCCCAAATTTGCCGATCCGCGAGTCATTTTCGACGATCCACCCCCACCCGACCATCGTACCAGAATAGTATCAAGACCCGTACGTCGACCGAGAGCAGCGGCGGTATGGCGCCAGCACGATATGGCACAAGACCACACACTGATGATCGCACACCGATGCTTATTCGGCTTATTGTCTCTAGATGTACAAGATGTTGTAAGACTCTGCTGTTTCGAGACCTCGGTGACTACATTCTCGACGGAACGAACAGTCGTGGATGCCGGCTTTTTTTCGCGTGTGCCTGGCGCCTTGTACATTCTGGTCGCCGTCGGCCGGATGTTATTCTATACAGGTGATTCGCGAAGATCTTCTACACTAGTGAGTCCAAAGAGGATGTCCTGTACGCGTTAATACCAGGGTCTGTATCACGTGAACGGATCTTATGTAAATTTTCTTTTCTTGCGCCCACTGCGCAAAACGTCGAGAAAATGTCAAGACAGACAATCTACGTTAACCATATCAGCTATAGCTAATGGGCACTAACTCATCTGCTTTTGAACTAATCGTTTCCGGAGTCATCGCCTACAGTGGTTGACCCGCGATACTGATTAATGCTACGTTTTTCCGCCACATAACGCCAGCCCGCTTAGTGTCGAAATTACCGTTCCTACTTGTTGTTAGCCGCTCACAATTGTCATTCTGACACATCTTGACCTTTGACCCCAAATTTGAGATCCCGAATCCTTTTCGCGTCCCCCCCCCCACGTCACGAATATCAAGACCGTACGTCGAGTGGTTAAGATTTGTGCCGTAACTGTTGACACACAAACACACGGACGAACAGACGGACGGACATTCATGCGATTCTACATGCTGCATCTGACTTCGTCAGCTGAGCTAAAAACAGTTCACACTATCACAGCACTAGTGATGCTTACTTTGGCCGACCATATTCTCAACTTAATATCTCTGCACAGAGCAAATATCAAGACGTCCTGACCAGTTGGATGGGCACACAAACTTATTGGAGAATCTGAATGCTCGGGTTTCCCTCTGTAAATTATAGAATAATTATAACACGTGTTTATCTTTATAATTATACGTTTTATATACATATAATTATAAACGTTATAAATATATATATTATATTACATATTACTATATCTCAAAGATGAAGCACATTTCGATATACTACCGAGACATGTATAATTAGGGCACAAATAACTGGTAACAGGTCTGGTCGTTACATATCTGCACTTCAGTTACAATATGATTTATGAGTACTAACTATGCCATCATTTGGCAGAAAGCTTGCCTTATCATCTGTGGAACCAGTCCTGTCCACAATCGATGCATCACAGAGGGTTGTTGCAGCTCACAATGTGTTGCGAGACCTTAAAATGAACAGCTCTCATTTTACTGTTTGCAACATCTAATAAATGAGGCATCTTGCATGTGAAATTTCATACACGAGAGGAGCAATACATTCAGCTTTAAAAACAACTTTTCTGCAAGATCTGTCCTATCCGATTACTATAATTAAAAATGTTAATTGACAATTTTTTTGCAAATGCATATTTTTGTCACACATGATGTATGACCACACTTGCATCTAACCAGCACACACTTGATTAACCAAATAAAAATATCTACCTCAATGTTTAAAATATTACTAAATTAGAACAATTTTTTAATTCTCATTTAAGTACACTAGTTAAAAGTTTCATAAACTACAATCTGGCTGTATAGTTTCGCTAAGCTAATAATCTCTATTTCCCCATGCTTACCGTGAAGACCAACCGGGGGTAGTGTTATTAATACTATGCCACCAGTACTTTTTCCTAAAGCAAATACGGCTTCATCTTTAGTAGTCAGCCATGATGCACAGCAATGTGGGATGTTTGTCTCACCAGCTGATGAACTCAGAACAACTTGTGCAAAGTTTGAAGGTACTTTAGGATCATAGTGAGTAAAGCTGACAAATATAGATGCCATAGTTGCCTCTGAACTCTGCTTCTGTCCATGTCCCTGTAAATGACACTATTAGTTAGATTTCTATACACCAACACTAGCACAGTTATATGATTTAATACACTATGTCTTCACTTTCACTGTTGCAAGCTAAATTCTAATGGGAACTGAATAAAATGTGCCAATTTGGCACTATTTGTGTGCATATTTTGTGCATAAAACAAAAAAACTGCTGAATTTCTGTAGATTACAGTGTAACACGTCCGTCCACGTTAACAGCTCAATCCGAGTAGGCAAAATAACAAGTGTGCGCTACCGTCCCGCGAACATCTGCTCACGTGACTCACTATAGCTTCACTTGTAGCTGGCGGTCTACGGTCGCGCTGTGCAGCACAGTATTACGGTGCAGCACAGTATTACGGTGCACTGTGTGTACGCGGGTGAGCATCGCAGCAGTAGCAGCAGCAGTAAGACACGTGCCAAATATATAAATAGATAACAAATATAAACAGAGTGCAGTTCCAAAAAACATCTTCTTACCTGCCGGTTGAAATTCTTTGGATGAGGAAACAGGAGACGATGAACACTGGATACTGTTGCCACCAGAAACACAACATGTGTGTTTGTTTCATGAATAGTAACTCCATCAAGAACTGGACTGCCTTGAAATCGGAACTTTATACTATTTCCTATGAGATTGTAATCGAGTGAGTCCTCTGATACCTCCAAGACTTCTCCACTTACTTTCCTTAAAAATAATAAATTAACTACATAAATATATAACTTACATACTATGATTATGGATTTGTTTATGTTATCAAAGATGGCCACGGCTCACAAGCACGCACGCATGCACGCACACATATATAATTTTTTTCCCATATCTTTAGCATTATTAGTGTCCAAAAATTCAATGTAATAATGCACTAAAATATTAAAATTCTTCAGCATTCCTTTGATAAAAAAAAATCATAAGGAAACATAGATATATTTGTGATATTAAATGAAAAATATATATATATATACAATTTTATCTACTAACAATACTACATTTTTCATTAAAATTACATTTGTTTACTAATGGACCCTTCTTAATTATTATTCATGACCTGGGGTCATCGCACGAAAACGAGGCTAAGCTAGGCAATTTTGTAAACAATGGCTGCTCAGGCAGGCACGCACAGAGGCCTACACGCGGGTACACGCACGTACACGCAGATACACGCAAGAACACGCGGGTACACGGAGATACACGCATGTACACGCAGGTACACGCACGTACACGCAGATACACGCACGTACACGCGGGTACACGCACGTACACGGAGATACACGCACGTACACGCAGGTACACGCACGTACACGCAGGTACACGCACGTACACGCGGGTACACGCACGTACACGTAGATACACGCACGTACACGCAGGTACACGCACGTACACGCAGATACACGCACGTACACGCGGGTACACGCACGTACACGTAGATACACGCACGTACACGCAGGTACACGCACGTACACACGGATACACGCACGTACACA